CTTGGCGGGGCTGGAGCGGGAACAGGGTCCCCGCCCCTCGCAGGCCCCTCCCCTGGGGTGGGGGCAGGGTATGCAGCCCCCTCCCCGCTCTCTTGGCGGGCCCTTGGCCCCCCAGGGCTCCCAGGACAGGACGGGGGCCCCGGCCCGGCGCCCTCACCGCTGCCCCTCTTGGTCCCTGTCGCAGAGCCAGGCGTACACTGAGCCGCCGGAGCCCCCCGCCGAGCAGGACTACCCGGGCATGGTGGAGTCCACGGAGGACTACAAGTGGGTGGAGAGGCTCATCCCACCCGTCCGGGTGCCCGAGCCCCCGAAGCACGAGCACTACCCCACGCCGTCTGGCTGGAGCCCCCCGCGAGGTAGCCCGGCTTCTCCCCAGTCCGGGGGCAGACCCGTCCCACCCCCGCTTCTCCCCCTATCCCGGCAAACAGCTTAGTCTCTGGCACTATTTAAAATCTCCCCGCTCCCCCTGCGCTTTCCAGGCCTGTTAATTTAAGATGGCCCCGAACCATCCCATCATTCCTTGGAAACATCCCCACTCATCCTAACTGTTAGGAGCCTAAAGCAAACCTGCGCTGAGCTGAACATCCTAGCAATCCCCTTGTTCAGCACCGCCTGGGGCGAGGTCACGGCCAGGAGTGGGGGGCTACGGAGCTGTGATATCCCTCCACAGCCTCTCTCGCTCTGGCTCTTCGGCAGACCCCCCGCCGGAGCTCCCGTACTTTGTTCGCCGCTCTCGCATGCACAACATCCCTGTCTACAGGGACATCACCACCGGCAACAGGAAGATGACGCTTATCCGGAAGATTGAGGGGGACATCTGGGTAAGGATCCCGCCAGTGCCTGCCCCTAAGCCAGTGTTTGTCCTGGGGGGAGGCGCCTTTGTGAGACATGGGAGCCAGCTGCACCCCCTGTGATCTGGAACATCTCCCATCCTCTCTCTGGCCACAGGCCCTGGAGGGGGAAGTCAAGGAATTCCTCGCGCAGCTTTCGGGCAAGAAGCCACCACCCACACAGGTCAATGAGTTGACCAGCACCATCCGCATCAAGGGCTACTTCGACACTGAGATTAAGGCCTGGCTGCTGGACAAGGGGTTCTAAATAAAGCCTGGGGAAGCTGCTGCTTGTCTGGTGCTGTGGTCTGTCCCGGAAGGGGCTGGAGCTGAGGGGATCCTGGGCCCGGAGGGGAGGAGGGAGTGGGTATCAGATGCCACCAGCCCGTGCTGTGCTTACCCCCACGTTTATTTACACCCAACGCCACATGAAATGTACAGAAAAAAAAAGTTTTACAAAAGGGGCCCCCTTGCTAACTGGGTGTTTAAAAACCAACCCAACCCCAGCCCAGCAGCCTGTGAGCTGGGTGGAGAGGGGTGGTACTGGGAGTGAGGAACTCACCCCCACCCCCCTTTTCTTGCTTGGGTGCAGAGTCCAGCTGTCCAGGGAAGCAGAAAATCTCAAAGCTCCCCAGAGATGAGTGCACTTCAGTGCCCGGGGGTGGGCGCTGCGGTGTGGGGACAGAAGGTGGGGTGGGAAGCAGGGCCTCCCATTTGGAAGGAGCCAGGCAGTCCAGTTCCCTGTCGCGGTTCTGCATCTCTGGCCGTCTTGCCTGCCGGCCCTCAGCTCTGGTGGTAATACTGGTTGTAGTTCCAGGGGTTCTGGTAGCCGTAAGCGCTGTAATTTTGCTGTGGAGAAAGCGCAGGGACAGAGGGTCAGTGGATGTGAAGCCTGCCTGGGGGCAGACTGCCAGCGCACCGGCTTCCAGCAAAAAGGCAAACAGCACATTAGGGATGATTTCACAGAGCCAGAAACGACACCCCTTTAGAAATCCATGGATTGCCTGTGCCGTGAATACTGCACCCAGTTCTGGTCCCCGTGCCTCCAAAATGATAGAACTAGAGAAGGTGCACAGAAAGGGAACACGGATGATTGAAGGTGTGGAGGGGCTGCCTTGTGAGAAGAGGCTGAAGAGGGTAATGAGAGTGTGTGGGGTGGATGGATGGGCAGACAGGCCCTATTCAGTTTAAAGATTCTCGAGGTAGGACATAAAAAGAGCATAGAAGCGCTTGTAAGACCCTAAATAAGGAAGAGAAACTCAGAGATGTATCATGGCCTGTCTCTCACCAGCCAGAAACTAGGGGGAAGGTCATCAGTTTAAAACTAACACAGCAGTCTCCCCCCTCCCCAGTGTGAAATTAAAGAGGGGAGCTCGTTGCCACCAGCTGTGGTGGGAGCTGAGGGTTTACCCAGATTCACAGAAGGATTGGATGCGTTCTTGGAGGAAAGGGGCATTGGTAGCTATTGAGCACAGGAGGGGCATGACCTCTGAATCGGAGCTTCCTAAATGCCGCCCCACCCCTGGGTTATTAACCTGTCACCTTCACTCCCGTTGTCCCACAGAAGCACCTACAGCTTTTCTCTAACCCAGAAGGGCCCCTGAAGCTGCCGCCACAGCCTGTCTCCCAGCCCAGAGGGGATGCTGTAGAGGTTACTGCATTTACCAGCATACCACCTGCACCTTTCCCCAAAACATCAGCGGCCCCCAATCTGCAGCATGTTTCTGTAGCTGATTTTCTATCCCAGACAGAAGCCCCCTGCTCACAGCAGCTCTAGCATTTCTGTTCAGGCAGCTGAGGGAGTCCATTGTCTTCATGGCCCAGGTGCTATATCGATCTTCTGAATGGTCTCCACAATCCACTAATCAAGTTAACCTGGCAACCTGGCTAACCTAGTTCTTCCTGGTCTCTCTTCCTAGTCCACCTCCTTTCAGGTTGTATTTGAAAAGAGCAAACTCATAGATCTGCCGCCAGACCAGTCTTCAGCAGCAACTAGGGCTTCAGCTTTAGTTAAGCAGGGAAAAGGAAGGTTGACTGAACTTTAGAAGATTAGGCTCCATCCCTGTTCTATGCAGTCATAATGCTGGAAACATCTTTTTGCCCCGCTTTCCCAAGAACAAGGTGTGGGGCTTCGCTGGAGACATGTGGTAGGTGAGATACTACGGTACCAGACACAAGGGGCAGGTCCAAACAGGCAGCAAAGCCACTGCTCTGAGAAGAGAGTGGAGGTCAAGCAGAGGGTGATGGAGCAGTGGAACAGCTCAGCGCCACCCACCTGATACCACGCGTTGTAGTTGTAGGCGGCCGATGGGTTGTTGCCCACGTCGCCCCCCATGCCTTGGTTCATGCCTCCAGCCATGCCAGGCCCCATCATCCCAGCCCCGTCCTCCATTCTCATCCTCTTCTCATCTGGCTCATCGGCACTGTGGGGAAGAAAGGAAAGGGGCCTTGGTGAGCTCTGGGAAGGGTGGAGGATGAGGAGGGTGGCAACCTCCTCCCCACAACTGCCCCCCAGCTCCCTGCCTGCACATGCTGGTGGCCTTACCCATTCTCGGGGCCCCTCTTGCGGGCTGCGTAGCGCTTCAGGATCTTCTGGTGCTCATCGTAGGCAACCAGCAAGCTGGGAAACACATGAAAAGGTGGTCAGAGAGTGCCACCAGCTAAGCTCTGCTTTCTCCCCCTGCTCCATCAGCCACTCTGCTTTCAGCCCCCTTCCCTGTGTGCCCATGCCCCAAACCCACTGCTGCTTTTTGGCCTCCTTCTGTGCCCCCTTGCCCCAATTCACTGCCTGCTTTCACACCAGACTGCCATGCTCCCTCCTCTGATCTGCCCTGTGCTACACACACAGGCTGCCCATGTTACACATATGCCATGGGCTAGCCACCCTGCACTAGCCCTGCCCAGGGCTAGCTAGGTGTTCAGGCCAAAGGCTCAGCTCAGGCCCTGTTCCCAGTGAATAAAGACCTCCAAATGCTCTCTGCTTTAGTCTCAGAGTCCCTGGGACACGGTAGCCATCTCCCGCCCCACATATGGCAGAGCTGAGGCGGCTGTGCTAGGCATGGGGAAAGCCACCTGGCCCCCCTCACCTGTGCATGCTGGAGCCGAAGTCCTCAAGGTACTCCACACGGCGCTGTGAGAAGACTATCTTAGCTTCCTCAGACAGGCTGCTGTTGAGCGCCCGATCAAAGCACGTCATGGTGTTGCCTTCATTTTGTTTGATGTCGGCACTGAACTCCATCTCCAGCAGATTGGCATACAGCTTGGCATTCTCCTGTGGGACAGGACGAGGAGAGGAAGGCAGTGAGACCACAGGACTAAGTACAGGAGGGTGGTTGTCAGAAGGGAAAGGCGATGGGGTGACTGGCTGTACATACCAGCCCCAGGGGCTCCAAGCTGGGAGACACTGGAAGCCTGATAGGCATTCTGCCCCCCCTTCATGTTCTGGTCCCTGCCTCAATTTCCCCCCTCTATCCAGCCTGCCATCTCTGTGTGGCAGGGAGCAGCTGGGGCTTCAGAAAGGGACCCCAATCTCAGTCTGGGTTCAGATAGCACTAGGTTCCTCTATCTGGGTCCCAGGCTGTACCAGCCACCTGGATCTGCTCAGTGGCCCTGTGAGAAGCACAGGTTTGCCTCCCTCCTATACCACAAACCTAACTAGGCTATTGCCCAGTGCCCACTCCCCGCCCCATCCCTCACCGGGTCTTTCTCCAGTGCGTCCATGAGGACTTTCCGAGCCTTGATGAGGTTCTTCTGGACTTTCAGCACCTGCCGGGCCAGTTTGATGGCATAGAAGGAGGCCAGCGGCAGCCCCTCGTTGGCCTGGATGGCTTCCTGCAGCAAGGCCTCGGCCATCTCCAGGTTGCCTTGTCGCCGCTCCAGGCTCACCCGCCGCAGTCGCACCATGGCCAGCCCAGGCATGCCCTCCTCAAAGGTCTTTAAGATGCGCCGTGCCTCCTCTATGTTGTCTGCAGGGGGTGGCGGATAGATCCAGGAGGCATGGAGAGAGGTGAGGGGGGGCAGTAGGGGACAGGAGCACCCGGGGGAGGGACAGATCCTCGCTAGTTTCCACTTACCGCGCGGGGCTCTGGGGGGGGGCCTACAGGGGCTTAGCGGTGCCTTCCCCGAGCATCTAAGGAGCCTGCAGAGACCGAGAGGGGACAGGGCGCCATCACCGCGACGCCCCTAGGGCCTCCACCGGACACCTTAAAAATGCAGGACCGGCTAGCGCTTGCCGACGAGGTACCGTATTTACTGGCATACCACGTGCCCCCACGTAGGAAGGCAGCAGGAAGGAGAAAAAGATGTTTCCCTTTCACCAGACCAGTCAGGATCACTTCCCTCGTATAAGACCCGTGCTCCAATCTCCAGCTGGGAATTTTTGGGAGAAGGGAAAGTGTGGGATGTGAATCACAGAACTGATGGGGGGTCTCCGTTCTCTTCCTGACACGTGCGAAGGTTTCCAGGTAAAGGAAGCCAGGAGATTTGGGTGCGTTCCTAACAAAGCAGCAATTAGAAGCCAGGCAAAGCTGTATGATCATGATAATCTGGCCTAGGTCCCACAGGCTGCTAATGAAGTTACTTGCGCTAGAAAGATTGACATCTGGGTGGGGGACTGTGCCACCAAGCTGAACTACAGGGGAAGGATCAGGAGCGAGAGAACCCGGGTCTCTGATGGAGCTGACAACAGAAACAATGGGTGTTGGCCAATTCAGCTGGCCAAGTTGATGACCCAACATTTCTGCCTCTAATTTGGGGCGTTGGGAGAAATCAATCGGCCCACAAGGCCTGTGGCCACAGCTGCTGGAGCCCTATAAGCATTAAATGCACCACTACCTTTGCTACCAGCACCAGGGGGGTTTAATTGCCCTGGTGACTAAGACAGGGGGAAAAGAGGAGAGGGAACAAGGCAACAGCAGCATTAACTCCAGGGTCTCTAGGGATAAACGTCCCTGCAATTCATCGGTGGTCTGTGGAAGCCCTGAGATCTAGATGCAGTCCACTGTGCAAGACACATTTGATGTCCCAGTGCTAAACAAAGCCAGAACAACTGCCCCCACCAAGAGGTCACCACGAGGCAACTGTAGTCACGGGGGCAGTTACCACTGTGAATTATCAGGCCGCAGTCAACTGGGGGGACAGGACTCCAAGCCAGGAGGGGAGACGACAAAGGAGCTGTGTGTGCACTACCCACTGCTAGCTGGGTTCCCACTGACCTTGCTTCTCCTCAAACGCAGCCCAGAGGAGATGGATGCTGGGCTTTCGGGGCAGGTGGTAGCAACACGCCCGCTGGAACACGCTGCGGGTGCCGGCAACCGTGTGGTTCTCCAAGTAGGTGGTGTACTGCATGGGAAGTGGGAAAGAGAGGAGGTTGGGGGGAGAAAGAAGAGGGGAGTAGGCAGAAAGAAAGGCTGAGGGAATGGGTTAGCTCCTCCCGCCTGGGGCGGCACGGTAAAGGGATGAAAGTCTGCCCCGGGGAGGGACGGTGCACTCACGTGAGGGGGCTTAACGCACCTCTCTTCAGGGTTTCCTGCACCCTCTTAGGCGGGTGGGAGAGATCGGGCAGGGAAAAACAGCAGCGGAATTTAAGAGAAGGCTGTTAGAAGTTTGCTCCACAGACAAAAAAAAAAAACCACAACGCGCGGCCGAGGCATCAGGCGCCCGCGACGTGCCGCTGCCAGCTGGAGCTGGGACAGATTGAGCTGGCGCTGGTACCAGGGGATTCAAGCACCTGCTTCCCCTAGGCGCACCGTCTCCTCTCCGGCCGTGGGTGACTCACGGCCTGGGTGTAGCAGACGGCATCCGGCACAGGGAGAGGAAGGGGGTGGATTCTTTTTCAGCTGGTGGGAGGAAGCCGAAAGGAGTCGATCCACCCCCCATACCACCCCCAGCACCTCCCCGCAGGATGCAGGGGGAGTCACGTAAGAGCTTCTGTACTGAGGCTGGCTCCTCCTATCCCTAGGGAGACCTGTCTCCAGAAATCCAGCATGTAAAATGAGATTGCTTCATTCCCTGCTGATCAGGGAGCTTGGCCTGTTAAAACCAACCTGTCCCAGGAGGCTCAGGCCAGCGAATGGTGTCCTTAGATCCCGAGGCCCGGATCCCCCAGCTTTATCTCGTGAAGTCAAAGGGGAGAGGAGGAAGAGGCAGGAGCGGGGGTGGGGGGCAGGGGCAGGGCGCTCACTTTGATCCAGAACTCCTCGTAGAGGGCGCAGGCGATGACGCAGCGCTCAAACAGCACGATGGTACGCTCATGAGAGCTATGGGCCATTTCAAAGTCCAGGTAGTCACGCCAGTTCCTCAGCTGGGCTCGCTCCAGCGGCTTCACATGGAAGTAGGGCCGCTTGATCTGTGGGAGAGTAGGGTAGGAATAAGAATGAGGTTCCCTCCAGAACAGCTCAGGGGAGGGCTAACCTCTGCAGTGAGAAATCCTTTGGGGCTGGCTTAACTGGATATCAGTGCTGTTCCCAGAATCACTGAGGCCTGCTCTGAGGATGATCAGAGCAAGGGGCGCAATGCTACCATACTTTCTTGCATAGAACACGCACCTTATTTCCAGAAGGTAAAATATAGGGGGAAAAAAAAAAAAAAGGGAGTCTTGGCTGACTGGGTGACACAAAGCAAGTCCTCCTGGCAACACAGCATCCAGGCAGTGTTGCACCCCAGGGAGAGTCTTGGTGAGTTAGGAGGCAGCAGGGATTTCCTGGTGTGACAGACAGCCTCCTGGAAAGCTGGATGCACATGTTCCTAGAAGCAGTTACTGTCGCACAAGGTTAGGCCCCAGACCCTCACAAAGGGCAGCAACCAGACTGTTCTGTATCCTAAGCAGTTAATTCATAGGAGCTTATGTAAAGAAGTGTGGTTTCCACATCACGAGCCTCATCGAGATACAACCAGCAGCTAATTCCAGGGCCAAGCTACAGTGTTCAACCAACAGCTATGGCTATGAGTGTTAACATAGGACTTCGCCATCTCAGTAGCAGCATGGCATAGCATCTCCATGCTTACATTCCAGCAAAGGAAAGTTTTCCCACTGAAGACAGACGCACAGATTTTGCTGGGACAGATATGCTGGGCACACGACAATGCAGTGTATATGTGGCCACTTCTAGGGCATGGTCTTAAGTTACTCCAGAAGAAATAGAATGCAGAGGATGCAGGATGTGGCCTCCACCCCCAAAATAAGGCTTCTTGTGGGGCATACTAGAGTAGATTGATGGCAGGCCAAGTTACACTGGGTTTGTCCCATGCATCTGCTACTGAGGGTGGCTTCTCTTTGTGGTAGTCACTCCTCTGTGCAAGCTAGTTACCTTGCCCCCTAGCGGCCACGTAGTGATGCAACACCTCCCCTGTGCTCTTTCTGCGTATCCCTATTCTTCTCATTTGCAAAAAAGATCTTATAACCTCTCTCTATATAAACTAAGACTTAATCTTAGTTAAGTCTACAAAGGTACACATCTACCCTGCCTTTTTCCAGGTGGCTTGGGCAAGCCAACTGCATGTCATATCACAGAATCAGCAGAACAGGCCAGATCCTGCCTAGAACTGCATACATAGATTGTAGAGTCGGAGGGGACCACAATGGATCATCGTGTCCGACCCCCTGCCCCTGGCAGGAAAGAGGACCGAGGTCAGACGCCCCCAGCCAGGTGACTATCCAGCCTCCTCTTGAAGACCTCCAAGCTAGGTGAAAGCACCACCTCTCTTGGGAGCCCGGTCCAGATCCTGGCCACCCTTACTATGAAAAATGTCTTCCTAATATCTAACCTAATTCCACTCTCAACTAGTTTACACCCATTATTCCTAGTCACACCCTGGGGCGCCTTAGTAAACAGCGCTTCCCCTATTCCCCGTTGACCTCCCCTAATAAATTTATAGGCGGCCACAAGATCTCCCCTCAGCCATCTCTTGTGAAGGCTGAAGAGATTCAGCTCTCTCAATGTTTTATAAGCAGCCCCTGCTTTTGTGTCTAGCATATGGCTTAGAGCAGCCAGAAAGACAGGGAAGCTCCAGAGGTCACATCCAGAGGCAGGATTAGCCCTGTCCAAACCAGCCTAGACACATTCTTGTCTGACCTGGTCCTAAAACTCCACCATCAACCCTGTCACACAACTACATGGCCTATTGCCCCAAGACCTTGAACTGATCCCAGGTAAAACTGGGGGACAAGGGCTAGCCATGTCCCGTCACTGCAAGGGGGGTTAAATGTATCTGAGAGATCCCATGAACACGTTACAGAGTGATCAGGGCGGGGTGGCATTAGACAGAAGATGTCAGGAGGCACCTACCCCTTCTTCAAAGGTCCAACGCTTGCTGACTTCTGCCTCGTTCTGAGCATAGACCTGCTGCCGGATGGAGAGGACCAGCTCGCGGACCTTGTCCTGGTCGATATCTGCCTGGAAGGCGAAAGGAAAGAGCAGAGATATTACATATCTACAAAGCTGGTGGTCTTGTTCTGGTTTGCCCAGAGGACTTGGCTCGAAGGCAGGTGCATGAGCTGCAGGGCACCATTATAGAAATCAGAGAGAGGTGGGGCTGGAAGGGGCCATCTAGTCCAACCCCTGCCTGAGGCAGGATCAGCCCTGCCCAAATCATTTCAGATTACTCCATCATCCAACTTCTTCGTCAAACTACTGTCAGCCCTAACAAAACACTACATATCAGGGGGTCGGACTTGATGATCTGTTCAGGTCCCTTCCAACCCTAGAAACTATGAAACATCACACCCCAACCTGCCACAAGAAAAGCAGGGGGATCACAGCGCCAACGTCCTCCTGCTGTCAAAGAGTTCATATATGCTCAAGGGATCCCAAGCAGAGGCCATGCCCCTACTACAAAGGAAGGCAAACCCCCTTCCAGTCCATATTATTCTGATCGGGGGAAAAATTCCCTCCTGACCTAAATACAGCATCAGTCTGATGCTGAGTAGAGGGGCAAGACCCTCTAGCCAGGACCCTTCAGCCTTAAGTCCCAGCAGGAGCACTGGCACAGCCCAGCCACCACCCCCAGGCTGGGCAGCAGCCAACACCGTGTCTCTGACTTGGAAGGCCTAACACCCCCCGCCCCCCCACAGCAGAAAAGGGGGAATCCCCTCCCAGCCCCACTGGCAACTGGCAAAGTCCAGAAGCCTAGGAAATCCCCATGATGCTCTGAGACAGGAAGTGAATCAGCCTCCTCCACCCAGCTGGGCCTCAGCAGGTTGAGAACACGGATAGGTGGCGGGACCCATCTTGGCTGAAGCAGCGGTGGGGGGAGGAGTTCAGTGACAAGCCCCTGAGTGGGTCTGGTTCCTTCCAGCCAGGTTGGGGGAGGGGTCACTTGCAATGTTGCTGCAAATCTAGGGCAGCAAATCAGAGGGCTGGGAGCTGGTTCTTTACCCCAATGCCCACATTTGGTAGGTACCTGGTCATCCACCCCTGCCTCCTGCTTGGCTTCCAGCCCTGGGGGCACATCTTCCCCAGGCGGCGGCTCTTCGGCCTCTGTCTCAGGCAACTTCTGTACGGTGTCTGTGACCAACTTGGACTGGAGCCACGCCAGCTCCTCGGGCGTCACAACATCCTGGATGGGGTTGTGTATCACATGCTCCTTGAACCTGCGGCCAGGGTAGTGGTTAGCGACAGACCTGCTGGGCATCATCTGCCCCCACAAGCAAACCTAGCCCCCCCTGCATCTGTCTTCTGGGGGGGGGGGGTTCAACCTCTGGCATGTGGCCCCATGTCATCTGGCCTGTGAGGATCTCTGTGAGGTTGTAAATTGGGCAGTGGAAGAACAGTAAACCACTCCTCTGCCGCCAAACCTCTGGACTCATGGAAAGCCCCAATCCCAGCTCGCAGGGCCAGGTGGGAGAAGCATGGGCCCAGTGCCCAATCTTGATGTGGAGGGCTGGGCAGGGGCAGTGCTCCCCACCCCCCAGGACCTAATCCTGCCACACAGGGGTGGTATCGACCCCCTGAGGCTCAATCCGTGTGAGGGGGAGGGGGTCAGGACTGGTCTCTAGGGACCCAATCCCAGCACATGGTGGGAGCAGTGTCAGTCCCCCCAGGACCCAATTCCAGTGATGGGGAAGCAGGAGGGGGCAGTGCCAGCCTCTTGGGACCCAAACCCAGCATGGTGGGGGGTTACACCAGGTCCCCATCCCAGTGTGCAGTGCCAGCACTCTGGGAACAAGTCCCAACATGTAGGGGGAGGTGCTAGAACCCTGCGATCCAATCGTGACACACGAGGGGGGTGGGGCTAGTCGCTTCCCCTCCCCCCCCACCCAATCGAGGTGCATAGGGTGTGGTGCCAGCTCTGTGGGACTCAATCCCAGCACGTGAGGGGGATGGGAAGGGGTGGCACTGGCCCCCTAGGGCCCAATCCTGGCATGCAGAGGTGGTGCCAGCTCTGTAGGAGACCAAAAGATTGAGCAATGCTGCTCTCAGCTACTCCCTCATGGCACAGTCCCAGCCCCATTTCCCAGAGAAAAGAAGGAACAGAATGCCTGGCCCCTCCAGGTTTCTAATTCCCCTGCTCTCCAAATCGAGCTCAGAGGCCCGCAGCCTCAGGGGTAGTGGGCCAGACCTTGGGGTCCACGGGGTAAAGAAAGCGCTGTGGCCAGAGGCTTTCAAGGCCTCCATAAGCCCTGCCCAGTGTGAGTGGCCTTGCTTGCCCATAGGCCTTTCATCTCATCTTCTTTCCACACCAGCTCCTGGGTGGTTCATGCCCTGAGGCTGGAGAAACAAAGCTCTTCCAACAGTGTTCCCTGAGCTCCCTGCCCTGAGGCTGGTTGGGAGGGGCAGGCACAGTCAAATGCCTGGGCGCTGGTTTGATTCTCCATGGAGGCCCAAGCTCCGCAGAAGCACAGGAACAAACCTCTAGGAGCAATCCCTGATGGCCCCCAACGCCTTTCCCTTTCCCTCCCCCAAGGTCGTGTCACCTACTTCTCCCAGTGGTGGCTGTAGAGTTGTGTGGGGGTGGCCAGGAGCCGGTCGTAGATGGCCGTGATGGCCCGTAGATCGCCCTGCTCTCTCTCCCACTCCACATACATCTCCCAGAGCTTGTCTGAGCGGAAGTCCATGCCCGCCGCAGCCACAGCTGACTCAAACACACTGCAGAGACAGAGAGGGGGGGTGGGGAAGGGGAGGATCCGTTAATGGGGCAACAACAGGGCAGCCCCTGGGGGCCTCGGAAATGGGGACCCCAGTGACCTGGCAGGCTGTGTTCCCCCCCGCCGCAGCCCCTTTTACCCCATTCTCAGCCCTGGTCCCATCTATCGTAATTCACTGCCTATAACACACAGCTTTCCTCCCTGCAAGAAAAACAGCAGCAGGGAACTGGTGTGAGCATTATATGCAGGAAATACGGTAAGAGCACTTTCTGCCTCACTGGGCAAAGGCAAAAATACATGCGACTCACAGGAAGCAGAACAAAGCAGGCTGGGCTCCCTGGCTGCTGTAACTCAGTTACTACAAGGAAAGATCTTTGTGTCTTCGCGCTGCCTTTCAAAGACAAGGTGCGTCTTATATTGCAGGGTGCCTTGTAGGTGAGAAAATACGGTATGCCACTCGTTCGCCCATGCCAGGCGCCTGATGCTGGCTGTGCCCCCCCTCCGGCCGCTGCTGGGATGTGAACCGCCCCAAGTCGCCGGCAGCACAGAGCAGGCGAGATCCCCGCTTTTCCTAGCGGGGAAGGCAGTACCAGCCCCCCGCTTCCTCCTCACCACAAGGACTTACCCGCGGATCTTCTGGATGGAATCAGGCAGGTTCATGTCTAAGGTGGCCTGGAGGTAGGAGAGGTAATGGATCCACAGGTCCATGCTGAGGGGGATGGACTGGAGTCCTCGCTCAAAAACCTATGGGGCAGAGAGGGAGCTCAGCAGGGTAGAGACAGGCACCCTTCCCCCAGATGAGTTCCCTGACCCACCCCAGTCCTAATACAAGCCATGTGCTGGGAAGAGAGGCCACCCCACGATCCCCCTTCTCATAATTGCCATTTCCTGGGTCAGATAACAGGTCCACCTTGCCCAATCCTGTGCATCACATGGGGACAGAGAGCAGATGCTCTAAGACCAGGTTCTGACTAGGGTTTGTGTCCCTGTTTCTCTCTCACTTGCAGCCTCCAGCATTTAAGGTCTAGGAAATTCTAATTCAAAGCCATGTCTCTCCCATGCTCAACAGCTACGGACGCCCCTTTTCTCCAAGAATGTGTCCAATCCCCTTGGTGAATTTGGTTACACTCAGCTTTCACCACATCTGGTGGCAATGAGCTCCACCCTTTAATTCCACGCTGGGTGAGAAAGAACTTCCTTGGTGTTAGTTCTAAACCAACTGCCTGCTCATTCAATTGCGTGACCCCTTGTTCTTGTTTGGGGAGAGGCAGCCCATAATAAATCCGTATTGGCTCTCTCTTCCCCATTTAGTTTTTTAGAAACCCTTCTAACATTCCCCACTCAAGTGTCTCTAAATGGAATAGGCCTCTCTGTCCATCTAGCCCCCCCCACGCTCCACCTATTCATCCTTCTAGCCACCACTTTCTCTTTCATTAGCTTCTTCGGTCTGTTCACAGGGAAGCCCCTCCACGTCACAAATCAGCCTCGTTGCCTTTCTCAAACTTCTCTTGTTCTTTTCCATCCTGTTGGAGGTGCAGGGACCAGAACTAGGCAGTCTCCAAATCATGGATGCACCACAGATTTATAAAGGAGAATCAGGTACTTAACCAATTCCCCCTTTAATCATCCCTAATATTCTGCTTGCCTTTTAAATGGCTGCCAAGCCCCAAGCTGATGTTTTGAGCAAACAGTCCACAGTGACTCCCACATCTCTTTCCTGCATGGCAACAGCTAATGTATAGCCCATCACAGTCTAGGTATAAGTTTGAGCTATTTTTGTCTGGGTGCATCACTTTTCTCACCTCCTCCACCTCCTTGTGGCAGTCGAATCTGCGCTCCATGTCGGCGTACTTCTTCCAGTAGCCATAGCAGTAAGGATAGTGGGCGAAGAAGCTGTCAAAGGCTTTCCGGGCCGACAAGAGATGATTCTGCGCCGGGGGAGAAATAAATTAGCATCAGCATGGACAAGAACCCCATAACCGGCCCTCAACCTGGGCTCTCCTCCTACCCCCTTGCAGTCTGGGAGATTTCATAGACATTAGGGCTGGAAGGGACCTCGGAAGATCATCGAGTCCAGCCCCCCGCCCAAAGGGCAGGAAGTCAGCTGGGGTCATAGGATCCCAGCAAGATAAGCATCCAGTTTGCTCTTGAAGGTGTTCAATGAAGGCGCTTGAACCACCTCCGGTGGCAGGCTGTTCCAGACCTTGGGGGCTCGGACAGTAAAGAAGTTCTTCCTTATGTCCAGCCTGAAACGGTCTTGTAGTAGTTTATGACCATTCGACCTAGTCGTCATCCCTTGGGGCGCTCTGGTGAACAAACGTTCCCCCACATACTGGTGGTCACCCCTGATAAACTTGTAGGTGGCCATCAGATCACCCCTGAGCCTGTGCTTTTCCAGGCTAAAGAGCCCCAGGGCTCTCAGCCTGTCATCGTAGGGTCTGCTTCCCTGACCTCTGATCATGCGCGTGGCTCTTCTCTGGACTCTCTCAAGCTTCTCCACATCCTTTTTGAATTGTGGAGCCCAAAACTGGACGCAGTACTCCAGCTGCGGCCTCACTAAGGCCGAGTACAAGGGGAGAATGACGTCCCGGGATTTGCTTGAGAGATGCTTATTTAACCTCCTCTTGAAGACCCCCAGGGTAGGGGAGAGCACCACCTCCCTTGGGAGCCCGTTCCAGACCTTGGGCGTTGAACACCATCAGATTCTCATCCGCCCACTTGCTGAGCCTGTCCAGGTCAGCCTGGATCACCTGCCTGTCTTCTGGTGTGGATGCTTTGCCCCAAAGTTTGGTGTCATCGGCGAACTTGGCCAGTCCGCTTCTGACTCCAGTGTCCACATCATTAATGAAGATGTTGAACAGTATGGGTCCAAGGACAGACAGAGCCTTGGGGGACCCCACTGGTCACAGGACACCACGATGAGTGACTTCCATCAATTACTACCCTCTGGGTCCGACCCCGGAGCCAATTTTCCAGCCAGTGGACCGTGGAGGACCCAAGGCGACAATTGGCCAGTTTCTCTAAGAGGTGATCATGGGAAACCAGATCCGGTCTCCCCGCCTGCAAAGACAAGTGACAGGCCCCTCCAGACAACATTCCTAGTTCGTAGGCAGCACCAAGTTGAGCATAGCTGGAAAACTGCACCCGCTATCTTTCCCCCGATAAAGGAGATACTGCTCTTATCACATCTCCCTCCTATAAAGTATGCTATAGTTTCCAGTTCCTGTTTTAGAGGGTCCACATGCCAGAAAACACAGTAGATGGGGAGATGGTGGCCACTGCAGGGGGGGGACAGTCTCTCAGGTCACTGGGGTCCCCATTTCTGACCAAATCTTCCTAATCTTGATGGTTGCATGGGCTTTGAATGAAGCCTTGTGCTACCTGGCACGCATTAGCCAGTCAGGCACAGGCATTGCAGAGCCAGCCCCGGGGGAAAGAACCCAGGAGTCCCTGCCACGCCCACGGCCTAACGACCAACATGTGCTTTCTGCCACAGCCGGGGACAGGACCCTGGTGTCGCCACGGCGGCTGCACCAACCCACAGGATGCTGGTCCCCCGCCTGGCAGAGCCCCAAAGGGAACCGAGCGACTTAACCCCTCAACTGCCAACGGCCCCTAAAACCAGCGAGAGAACCCAGGAGCCACCCGATTCCCAGCCTTTTAACCCCTCAGTCTCCAGCAGGCTCTTAAAGCCAGAGGGAACCCTGGAGTCCCGACTCCCAGAAATGTAACCCTTTGTTCTGTTAAAGCCAACGAGAGAACCCAGGCGTCCCGACAGCAGGGGGCCCAGGGATACAGCTGTGGGGAAAGCTCGCAAGGAGCAGGGGTGGGGCGCGCTCCCCGCTCACCTCCTGCTCCACGTATTGCAGCAGCTCGGTCCAGGCAGCGAAGTCGTGGGGGTTTTCATGCGCCGCCTTCCAGAACCGCTCGAACTCAAGGGGATACGTGGGCAGTGGCTCCTCGGGCAGCGGGGGGTTGGGAAGGGGCGGGGGAGACGGTGAGGGCG